GATACAAAACAAAATGCTGTCACCAAAAGGGGAAAGAATCCTTTCGCTCCGCAGGGCTCAGCTTCTTCTCTCCTGCCACCGGTGTACAGGCGCCACTTATGCAACTATAGTTGGATTCTAGTTAAGAATGCGCAAAATAAATACAACCGCGTACCATCCGTGGCATGAAATCGCTCCGCGGATAGACCGTGGAAAAGGCAGTGATGTCGGCGTTTCGTGCGCCTCGGTAGTGGACTATTTACGCATCGCGGAGGAACAGCGCCTGGGGGTGGTAATGAGGATGTGGGAGGAGCTTGTGGCAGATTTTAACTCGTATATCTTACTGTAACAACAGTCTATGCATTCGCTCATATATGCCACCTCCCTTCAGCATGTCCTTTTTCAAGAAACAGTCGCGCCACCACCCCGGCACGAACACCAAAGATAGGGAACGGTAGGTGGTGCCATCTATCGGAGACAACCGGAAATAAAAGATGCCGAATTTGGAGTAAGTCTAGTATTTGAAAATTAATTCGCGTGGCCTTCTTTTCCTCTATTTTCATTCTTCTTCCTTCCTGGAATTTATTTCTAACGTAGCTCGATTCGCATGGCGGTGCAGCGCATAGTTATTTTAATTGGTGAACGCCCGGTAGACCACATAGAACAGGGAATCAATAAAAAATTACTATATTAAAAAAAAAAATGCAGGGCATATAGTGGCGTGAATGAGAACCGGAATATTAAATATTTCAAAATCTTTTAAAGTATTTGAAAGGGTTTCAGAAGACGGCGAACCCAGGTCTGATCAGCGTGCTCTGCGGCATGTTTACGAATCCGACTCGTTTTGCCTATTGGAGAGATAACGCATTTGTTCAAAAATAATAAAATGCTGGTGTTTGCAACAAATGCCACCTGGCTGGAGGGAAAGCACGAACCGTGATGCAAGTGGTTACAGCAAATGTAAAACACTAGGCTCAAAAAAGAAGACACCCAACACTGACGACGATACACCCGGTTCCATATTTCGTCCTCCCTTAAAGACGTACAGAGTGTGTTCCGTTAATGTTGAAAGCGGTGAACAGCGTGGTTTTGCTAACATCGCCACCGCGCAATAATATCAGTATTCATTTACGTTTCGCGAGGTAGTTTTACCTCTGGGGCCGAGAGACAGAGGAGAAAACGAGAAACACGAAGCATTCGAGCTTCTCGTCTGCAGCATTGTTACCACACTACGGGGTTAAAATGTCCGAATCAAGCTCGCTTGCCTAGATTCTGGATTCAAATACTCGTTTAAAAAACACCCACATAGTTGTATCGTAAATTCGCAAAAACCTAAAATTGATATTTATTCCATTACAGAGCTGCGTCACACGAACTAATATTTAATTTAAAATATTCGAAATATGTTATGGCATCACGCGGGTAAGTTTTTCCCGTTATCGTTGAGAAAGTTTCCATCACCGACATGTTCACTTCGGCGACCTCGTTTTTTTCCCGTCGGGCCCCGCCAAAGCGAGGCAAAACGTTACTAGTTTAAATCCTGGGCGGACCAATGGCACCGAGGAGCCGGCATCGACGCGGAACGAGGACATATCCGCGCGCCTCGAAGGAGTTAGAAAGTATTCGTACAAAAAACACGGAAAGAGGGCAGAGGAGGGTGGCCGCATGTCCAAGCTGTCATCGGCCTCGGAAACGGCGCGATGGGTGGAATGGCACCCCAACAGAGAGACAGGCTGAAGGCTGATCGAGTGCTCGGAACACGGGCGTTCCAAGGACTCGCTCCGAGGGACCGCGGACGCAGCAGCCGGTATGTGGGCACCACATGAGCGTGCTGCGAGAAGAAGAGAGCCCGGGTCCGACGACGAAGACGGACATCTATACGTCGCCGCCGACCCCCGGCTGCAACCACGCGAGGCCGCACCGCGAAGCGTCATCAGCCCTCCGAGGGCCGAGACTCGCTCATCGACCGCGAGGAATCCTCAGCCGGCCGGGTGCCTCGAGAATTACCGGGGTTTCCCGGAAACGCGAAAGGGGACTCGCTTCGGCCTGGGTCCGTCCGTCCCTGTCTCGCTCGTGGGCCATGTACTTGAACCGAAAGCAGATATCCGCCCGCACGTACGAAGCACTTGGAAGCGCAATTAAGCTGAGCCCCCGAGCCATTAGAATAGACGCGAAGGAGTCCGCTAGAATATATACGAGGCTGCGCGTGCCGCCGATTTTCGGGAGCTTCCTCGTAAATTACGTTTTTGGAAAGATTCGGCGCGTTCATAGAAAGTGCCCAACGCGGAACCTATATTCAGTTATTACCAGTGAGAAGAACATACGTCCCTCGATTTCTTTTCACAAGAGTGAAAAGAAATCGAGGGACGAAGAATCTTATTTGCAACCGAAGAGAGCCTCGTAACGCAAAATTTTAACTTCAAAGTTTTATCAAGGTAACATGGTGAAAATCATGTCTTAAAAATAAATATGAATTTCTTTTTAAAAATGATACAAGCAGAACATGGTTTCAGCAGAATCGCAACTGCTGGAAAGTCGTATTTTTAGGTTAAATGAACGCGATGAATATGTTACTTCCCGAGTGGGAGGGGTCCCTCTTTGCGTCTAGATCGCGTAGCTTATATAACCTATCGGGGAGCAATCGATCTTCGATTCGAGTACGGCTTTGTTTAGGAGTTATGACACAGAAATTTCGATACAGATGTAATCGAGCGCGAACGGTAGAAGCGAAACGAACCTGCCAATTTTTGATGCCGAGATAACTTCATGTAAAGCAAGAGAAAGTCACTAGAAACGAGCTTGAGTTACATCGAAAAGGAACGAGCCAGGTGAGTATATACCTCCCGATCATTTTACGGGACATCTCAAAGTGACTACGAGATGTACAGCGGGGAGATGGGCGCTAGGTGAAATGCTTGTCGCGATACAAACCGTATAAAGGCCGAAAACCACGGCTCTCTATTCTACATCAGCCTTCCTTCACGGACGAAACAGAAAAGTGCTCCTTTGAGAGCGTAGCGATTCGTACATAGAGGAAGATCGAGAACTACTCAGTGGCACCTTTGAATGTAAACCGGCTTAGACTTTACTTGGCGTTTGGAAAAAAGTCGAATGAAATAGTCTGTAGTTACTCGTGAAGTCACAGGCTGTTAATTTTAGTGTACTGCGTGACACTGCTAGCGCAAACACAAAGACACCGTTTTTTTTTTGTTGTTTATTTTGCTCAATTAGGTATTGCGCGGCACTGAAAGTTACAATTTGGGTTACTGCTGAGAATCCGTTATTTTCGCCACACTAGTAGGTTTTGTAGCAGCTCTTTAGTAAAACAAGAAAAAAAAACGGAGAAAAAAAAACAAACGTCGATTACTTGTTCGCGCTAACAATGTCGCGCTGTATACGTTACGAAGCGTTAAGGAAAATCAACGTAACGATCGAGACTTCAGTCGAGATGCATTGAAACATCTTAGGGACTTCGTTGATTACCTGAGAGATTAGTCACCCATATTTTTGGTGGAGTAAGTAATCTGCACCCCGGCCTAAGCCGTTTAACTATGCGAGCTCAGATTTCCTTGAAGATCTTCGCCTGGAATCTCGTGTGCGGTACTCTCAATAATCGCCACGTAATTAAAAGCATTTTCATCACCCAGTTTTTATAGGGTTCTACAGGCGCACAGGAACAGCTCATCGACTCAGGACTCCTCTTAATTAGGCCATTACTAATAGCTCTAATGGCCCGTTCTAGCACGGGCGACATGCTGATAGACGTCCGGTGCTGTGGAATGCTGTCGCTGCAGGTCATTACGCTTCTGGAGAATTGCTCGCATATATTAAGAACACAGCAGAGTTCTGACCTCTCAAACCGCCCGCGCCGGCGGTGGAAGTCGTGGCAATTACTTCCAACACCTATTTCCTAACCGAAATGTAAATCTCGTGGAAGCGAGGAGGGGAAGGTCAGAGCACTTATAATACAAATGGCCCTTGCAAGACAGGCGCTGGACAACAGAAAACGTGTATATTGTTCTTTGCAAAAATGAAAACGCGTGCAGTGCGATGAATGAAGGTCTGCACAATGCGCAGTTGGTGTAAGCCTGGGAGTGTTTACGGATAGTATACATTATTCGTCGAATACTGTCCACGTGTATTCAATCGAGAGTTGCACACCCTCGAAATTTCGCCAAGGAAGCAATAGTGATCCGAGAGCGAAACCGACCTATCATGGCCACTGCAACGTGGGACGGCGTAGATGGAGTAAGTGCTTCGCCCTTGTTGTTTCAGAGCCGTTTCTTCACGATGTTGTAGAGTGCCATGCAAAGGGAGCGAGAGCAGGACTCTAATAGGTGCTGCAAGTTCACTTGACCGATACGCTTTGTGGAGGAAGGTGCTCACACTTGTAGCCTTTGCTGTAGTCAGCGGTAAGAAGAGGCGGTGTACTGGCGACTTCCACGATAATAAAGACTTGTAGATGTCGAAGAAGAAACTAATCTGCCGCGCCAGGTTCGATTGCCAGTTTGTCAAAGCATATCAAATCTTCGCAGCATAAACTTAATTGGTGTGCTCAGAACTGAGTGCGTGATCTTCGATGTGCTGGCTGTTGGGTCTCCTCGCTCTATCTCTTATTTTTACTGTTAGTTTCACAACCCCCCTCCTTAACACGGTGTACCAAACCTAGACAGTTATCCACTGAATTTCATTTTCTGCTTAGCCTCTCTGCTGTTCACGATAGGAAGGCGTCGAAGCAGGCCTAGAAACACCTGCCCAACTTCGTCTATTCTGGATAAAACAGCTTCTTGTCAAACTAAATGCAGGAAGAACGAAAAAAAAAATTGGCCCATCAAACCGTTTACCGAACCCAATGTTCAAACACATGGACATCATTGTCCTAAAAGTTTACTGCGATGAATTTAATACCCCAGTGTCCACGTTTGATAGAAGCACATATATTTCTGCGCAAAGTAGAACGGCGCCCGCGCTGCGACCGAACAACACTCGGATCTCCCAAAAGCAGCTCGACGCGATCTCACCTGTGAACGGGGTCAAGTCCGCGCTCAGGGAGCGAAGCGGCGTTCAGGCTGGTCCGTCGCCGTATCCGAGTTCCGGCAGGCACATATCAATCACAGCACCGGATCGAAGAGACCCGACCGCCGGAGAGAACCCCGGGGAGCGGAGCACGCAGTGGTTCTCGACGTCACCACTCACAGCACGACGCGGACTTTCTCCGCGATCCTCGCGATGTGAAACAACTCCGCCGCCGAGTTTGAACCCGTGCCGCACTGGGCTCCGGGCGAAACTTGGCGTGTCAGTCGCACCACGATCACCCCGCGGATGGTCGGCGCTGGCAGGGGGCGCGGACTCGGGGACGTTTGCACCGGGAACCAGAAATAAAAAAAAAGCCTGTGGGCGAGCGGTCCGAACGCTCCGCTGCAGCAGCGATTAAAACTGCGTCTGAACTCTTTCGGATCGCCTCTTTTCCCCCATCGGCATCGGGAGGGAGGAAGAGGAGGGCGCGGGGAGGAGGTTCACGCGCGGGACGCTGCGGAGGGGAGGAGGGGGAGAGGCCGGAGAGGAGGAAGCGGCGGAGGCGGGGACGCCGCTCTCCCTTGTGTCGCCGCCTGGAGGGCAGTCGGAAAACTAGCTACCCGCCTCCGGCCTCAGGGCTTCGCCAGTCTGCAGCACACTGGGCAACGCCGATGACTTACAACATTAGGGGCTGACGTATGCTAAATGTAAGGTGCATAAGGGACAGAAGGCTGTCGCCTCAACTTCCTCCATCTTTGTTTTGTTTACTTTTCATATTTGAGTGCTCGTTTTACCTCCTTGTCTTTCTCGATAGTTCTTAAAGGGCCGAGATCAAAACCAACCCGACTGACACACTAACTCAGCATGCGAAGGGTTGAACGCATTTGCCGTTTTACCGAAGCCTTTGTCCTAACCAAACACGACCCTGTTTTGCTGCGGAGTGTGGACCCTTTCAAACGTGCGCGCTTTTCCCTGTTGGCCATTGTTCGGACACATACTGTGAGCATGTATTGGATACGAGGGTTGCGTCTGCATTTGCCGAGGCCTCGGATCTGATCACACGCTGGGTGCCCTAGAAATGGCGATCGCTAATATTTATTGCTCGGTAGACTTTTGAAATGCGTCTATTGCTGACGCTCCGTCTCTTAGCGGAAGAATAGCAGCTGTCCTAATCGCTAATGAGAGCATCATGCGGCTGCCCTGAGTGACCAGCGGAAAGCTGGGCGATCCACTGTACGCGAGGGGCAAATTTACCAAAACGTGTCTCTCAGCGCATGAGAGCCCCCTGTAAATGGAAAGCCCATACACACTGACAGCATGGTCAGATTCTTTGAAGTTCAATGTGAAGTGTAGCACCTAGTAGCACCAGTGTATACAGCTTAGCGTTTGCTTATCCATGCTCTTAGGATGACTGCAGTAAAACTGCAAATAAAAAAAAAGTGGGGATTTTGTTTTAATTTTTGAAGGGAGCCAAATTTGTGGGTACAACCTCTTGAGAACTAATCTGTATGACAACACGTAATAGCACCAATGTGCACATCTGAACTTCTGCCGATGTGTGCCCTTGTAAGCACTACGGAGAAGCTTGAAACCCGCGAAAGAAAGTGCTTAATGCAGCGGAGTCCACCTTTAGACAAATATCAAGCAATCTCAAGCTTCAAAAAGCTATGCAATTTTCTTATACGACTTGAGAGTGGGTGGAGAACGAGAATAATCCAAAGTGGAAGAAAAAGAAACACAATGACAGAATGCATTCTGTTGGATTAAAACTTCTGTTTGGGCGAGTTCGTTCATACTGATTTAAAAGGTTAAAAAAGTGCAAGCAAGACATGAACAATAAAAACAGTAAGACGGCAGGACCGGCGCTAGCTCCCGTCCTGTAATTTTTGGGTTTTTATAGTCCTTGTTTTGTTTGCGCTTTTTGAACCTTTTAAATCTGCATCCCGTTCTTTTCTCTTCATCTATGAATTCTTCTTCTCGACCTAGTCTCGGGTAGTTTAAGAAAAGAGAAAAAAGTCTACACCAGCTCACCTGCGCCCTCACTATATTATCGGGTGTATATATATACATATATATACACCAGCTCACCTGCGCCATCACTATATTATCGGGTATATAAATGTCGGTTCGCCCTAGAAATGTACGGATTAAATTAACTTTCTAGAGATTTTGTGTACATCAGTTTAACCTAATACAAAATTATAGAGGACGGAGGTTTGTATATTTTATAATTTTACCCAGTTATATCCAACTTTTAGGTCAGTAGGTGATTGTATCTGTTCTTTAAGGTGGCTCATGCTGGCTATCTTTGTTTGTGTTTTAGTATATGTGCACAGATGGATATATGAATCCAATACTAGGAACATGCTGAGTGAAGAGCGACCTTGAACAATAAAGGCAATGCTTGTCCTTAGTATTGCGCGTGTATTTTCATTGCCCATCAAAAATCGAGCAAACCTTATATAATGTCTCTAGAATATATATTTTGTGCTTAGTTGGTTACTGCTGCAATTGTGTCCTGCTCATTGATAAACATTACTTGCTCACTGATAAATATATATAACATGAATACACGTTATTTATTTCTCATGCACCTTCAATTTGGCATGAAACACTTAATTTCTGTCTCACGTTAAGAATGTGGATTTTAAAGTTTTGTTTTATTACCAGTAAATGCACATTAATTTTTGTATCGAAATCAATACGATCTCAGCTCTTTATTCAGCAGAGTCAAGAGACGCAAGAAAGAGACAGGAATTAATTGCACAATCAAGCTCCGACCAGCGGACAGCATACTCCTTAGGTGGGTAAACATGAATTATCAAGGCCGTGAGGTCATTGTCTGCTTGTTGTTAAAAAACCATCTGTGGGACCCACCGGAATTTTGAGACTTCTGAAAGGTACGCCATTCTTCTCTGATTAGTTTTGACGTACCCTTCAATAATTTCTGAAGGGTCTAAGAAGTCCGTCGTAGCTTTTTGAGAGGTATGTGGTGTTTGTCACCCTCATTCTTGAGAAATCACGTGGTTCATCAATCTAGTTTTAACGAGTCTGTGGGAGACCTCACGTGACCACTCAGCCGCTTGGCCTTTTTCCATGAAGGTGCCGTAACGAACGGTCGCTCAGTTTCGGCTTCCCTCTCCACGCGTGAGATCTATCTTCAGGAGCCCAGTGTGCAGATGAGAGACAAGGTCTGAAAGTGACCTGTTTCTTGTGCGTATTGGTCCGTTCGCCTTGAGAAGGTCGTCCAGCAGGCAAGAAAGACGCCGGGGACGCCACCGCGACTGCATCAGGAACAACATCGTTACTGCGCTCAGTTTTTTCTCAACAGCGGTGCATGTTGAATTCGCGTTGGTGGTTTTTGCAAAAACGTATTACTGACAGTGTGCTTATATATATATATATATATATATATATATATTCAGTTATGTTTCGTTAATAGAGCTACCCCGCTATGTGGACACCACTTTCGGGGACAAACTGAGAAAATGCGTGCATTTTTGTTTTGTTATTATGGATGCCTCACATTATTGACGATTTTTTCCGGGAACGGAAATGTCCATATTAACGAGACACCACAATATATAAGGGGTGTCCGAAATAACTTGCACCAAACTTTACAAAAGAAAAAAAAAAAACAAAAAACGGGCGCTTTGCCAGTTTCGAATCAACGCTATGTTTTTAAAAAGCGTCTTCGGAAAGTGTACATTTTTAGTGCGCCCAGTTAATTAGTTAACTACGAGTAATTATCCAATTTTCTAATAATTGTTTTAAGAGCCTAGGTGTGAACTAGAAATTGGTTTAGCGCATGGAGAAACAGCCATTTAAGGTGTTTCTTACATGATGCGCTTTGCGCTTCATTTTATTAACCTAAATAGAAAACCAGCGGAATAAAAAAAAACACGTGACAATGCACCCGCGCGTCACCCATGCAGCGTTGTTAGCCGTGCTCTCAAAGAATGGAGTCCACGTCTTTACTGGTGCGCCTGTCGGATTTTATACACACACACACGCACGCACGCACACACGCACACACGGACACACACACACACATATATATATATATATATATATATATGTATACACATATTCCAAGGGAGGCATAAACAAGCAGTGGCAGAACTTCCTGTGGCCGAGATAACTTTCGGTTGACCAGCTTCTGAGTATGTTGCAAGGGGCAAGAATGAGCAGCACGTCTTCCACAATTTCATAGGGAGGAAATCTGAAAGGTATCTCGAAAATGGAATGTAACTCTATCACTGCTTACAATGTAACATAGATGGGTGTGTGTTTCTAGATCATACGGCGCCAAGACAAAGTACCGCATCTCGTGTTCTTTTTTTTGTCTCCGTGGTGTAAGTTACACGGCCCTCCCTGACGGGCCAGTGGAATCTTCTTTACACGATAGACATTAAACGAAGTTAGACGCCCGCGAACACGTCCACAAACCAACCGAGGCATGTAATAGTTTCGTCTTTTTCTTGCACGTGATAGCGTGTGTGAGAACAGCATCGTTTCGTCAACTGCGCGGCGTCGCCGTGAATGTTCGAGCTGGCCAAGCAAAACTACGCTACTCCTGTCGGACTTGGTTGAAGGGGAGTGCGAAGGATTGTGCCACTCGTGCTTGATCGTGCCCGAGGAAAAAAACGAGCGGTGCATTTTTAACGACGATTAGAGATATCGTGATTGGGACAAAAGCGCCGCAGTGTGTAGTGCGATTGCGCCGCTCGGTTCCCGGCAAAAATCAAGCTTCGTGTGCTCCACGACGAGTGGAGATATCGTGATTGTGACAACGTCGAGCTACCGCAGCGATCCCGTGATTAATAAAACGTGGATAGAAGTACAGACATGGACGTCAAAAGGCAATTTCAGATTCTTAAACCCAGCCGATAGGCTAAGAAAACTAGTTTGAGTCCTACTTGTTATGATCACGCGACACTCCTGGGGACATATCGCATTTGTTCGAACTGTCCTGTTTGGGCAGACACGAACAAGCGCTCTTGTGTTTGACGACGTGGGTCAGTAATGAAGTTGGAAGGATGGTACCAATGCTGTTTCACATCTTGCTTTAATCGTGTCACGAACACACGCTTTACTGCGTTCTGCAAATAAAAATCTAGCTCTCGAATTTAGAAAATGGATGTGCCTGAAATTAAAATGGAACCGAACTCCAGGTTCGGTACTGTTCAAAAAGGTCCCTCACATTTCGAAGTCCTCCGCCGACACAAACTCTCAAATTTTGCGCTTGATCATTATTTTCTTGAGCTTGTTCGTGTGTTTTTGTTTGAATTTGTTCAGGACTCTCACATAAAGCGTCTGTTCACAAGCTCCCACGCACACGAAAATTAATGTGCGCAAGTGATTCTGCTCTAAGATTAAAAAGAAAAACGATACAA